CCCCCCGCTCCCTGCTGGCTTGGCCAATCCAGAGGCCTGCATGTTAGATGGGACAAGGATGGCTGGGGATCCCAAGTGACCGCCACCACTGTGGCCCGGCAAAGGACCATTTTTACAGCTACAGAAGAGTGGTCATTTCATAATTAAACGGCACACATTCTATATAAATAAAAAGTAAAAAGGGGGAGGGGTGGGGGAGGGAATGGAAATTGGCACAGACATTGATATATTGCTTTCCAGTTTCAATGCGACAGATGCAAATCATGAGACACCAGGAGAATAGAAACAAGGGCTGGGTCTAGCTTTTCTAAGCAAAGTGTGTTTCCCTTGCAGGGCTGGAGGTTTGCTGAAATGGACGGGGAGGGAAGCCAGGCCGGAGGAGTCCTGGGAAACCCACTGAGTCCAGAAACGTGTGGAGGGCAGAGGACCCTGCTCCCTGCCCTCGTCCCCCAGGAGAGTGGCACTGCTTTAAAATAGTGGGTCTGCTCTCCTTGCAAGAAAAAAGTACGACTAAATAAATACAATGTGCAGACTAAGACCTTCAAGTGACTTCATCGTTTTCTGCCCCCTGGCTCGGCAGATCCACAGGCAGGGGAGAGAGTGAGGGCCACGTGGCCCCCCCGTTGCTGTGGTCTTGGGCAGGAGCTACCCATCGACGTACTGGGTGAGCCCTCCCACCGCCAGGGACATGGGCAGGATCACGGGACAGTGCCACTGGTTACTGGTATAATCACATGACAATCAAACACCTTTTCCTGAGTCACACCATGGCTTCCCTCCTCTGGTTAGCTACACCTCCTCTTCCTGCAGCTGCCTCTTACAGTTTCTTTTCATTTCTCCTCGCCCCAACCCGTCTTTTTTAAAGAAATGATATAACTGTTCATAGACCTGTTTCTGCAAAATACTTAGTGGCTCCCCCAGTTCTCTTTCCTCTACGTCAGATGGTCAGGGGGTTACCAGGAATGTCGGGTCCACGGAAAGCCGGGAGGGTGGGCAGGTCTGTCCTTCCTCCTGCTCTGGGAATGGGGGTCCCCACCCTCAGCCCGGCCTGTGGAACAGCCCCTGTTCCTAACCTCCCACATTTCTGGTGCTCAGGAGACTTCAGAAATGGCTCCTGATGAAAACAGAGCTGGCGCTTGGAGGAAGACAAAATACCGCTGGGACACAGATTGTCCACGGAGTACATTCTAATATCTTATTAGGTATCTGAATCTGTTAGGAAAAAAATTAGAAACTATGTATAAAACTTAAAAATATTCAAGTATCAAAAGGCTATTCGGATCAAAGTTTAAAACAAGCTGTCAGCAAGATGCCGCCAAGAGGAAACTTTTACAAAAGTTTACTGAGTTTGTTCAGCAGAGAGCAAGGAGCGGAAGCGATCTGTATGGAGATCGATTAGGAGGAGAGTGAGGGCAGAGGGGGCAGCAGGCTGGGGTAAGCTAGAGATCAAGGCCTTTTTAAGCTGAAGAAAAGAGTGTGTGCCGGGCAGGGTGGTTGGGACAGTTGGGATGGGGTCACTCTCCCTGGAGAACAAGCCATAAAGTGCGCAGCCTGGGCCTCCCGCCCCCTGGTGTCCGGTCCTGGACGTTACATGGGGAGCTGCCTTCCAAGGGGCACATGAACAGCAAAAACAATGCAACAGGACAGAACAGGAAGACCCATTTCTGCAGAGATCCTTCTAGAAAGAAAGCGAAGAAAGGAGGTGAAAGGGGTCCAACGCTACAGTGTTGACTTAGCTTTTCAAACCCTGTTACACACAGGAATAGAATGTCTAAGTCAAGGAAATCTAAGTGCCTCCACCCACAGAGGGACGCGCTGTGGCCCCCATGGTATGAAGCAGCAGCAGTGTTTATTCAAGACACGATAGTGAAGGAATCTGGTCGTTTTCCCTTCTCTCCGGAGAGGGTGCATCTTGACAGGTGATCCAGTAGAAATCTTTTAAACTCTGGTAAGTTAAGTTCATAAAAACCACTCCCTTTGCCTGGTTCCGCGCCAGGCCTGCACTCTGAGCCGAGCTGACTTGGGGCGCCCTCTGGTGGCGGTATGGAAAACCACAGCCTGAGGCCAGCTGAGAGCTCGTAGGCCCACAGGCTGGGGGCCCAGAACTGCCCAGGTCATTTGGCCTTTTGCCTTGGGTAGCTAGCTGTCTCTTGGCAGATGGCCTGGCCCTTGGGGGTGGCCCAATTACTCCTCCAGAAGGTTTGGTTCCCGCTTTGTGGATGGCCCGTTTCACTAGGAGATTTCCAGGCCGTTCTGCCGGCCTCTTGGAGATGGAGTTGGGCCTTTAGACTTCGGTGGAGAATAGGATGCTCTGTCTCTTGCTGTCTGGGGCAGGGATGGCCTCCAGCTGTAGGAAGTACAGCAGCACCTGGACCTGCCGGGGCAGAGCAGGAGGAGGAAAGTGGCTCAGAGGGGTGCTCACAGCTGCAGGTGGGAGGTCTTCCTGGTCAGAGCCCAGGGCCTGGTAACCAAGGCCATGAGGCCAGCTCAGGGTACTGAAGGCTCCTGCTGGTGACACGAGACCCTATCAGCAAGACATCTGGGTGCCTGAGGAGCCCCGTAAGGTGCAGAGGAAAGAGCCCTCCCCGTTCTTCCTAGCCACGTGGCCCGGGCAAGTCCCCCTCTCTGCACCTCAGCCCCTGTAGAACTGGAGTGGGAACACCTGGCAGGAACCAGGGAGGGGCAGGCAGAGGCCACCTCTGTGAAGCTGGGCGCTGTGGGCTGGGGCCTGTCTCCTCGTACCTGGGACATAACCTCCAGGGACCAGCTGTCAGTCATGGAGATGGGCTGGCTGGGGTTGGCAGGGAGCTTGCTCTCTTTCTCTGAGGGCCGGAGCAGCGTGGGGCCGAAGACTGTGGCGAGGTTGTGCAGGGACATCTTGTTCACCGCCTCCTTTTCTGCCACCCTGAGGAGGGCCAAAGCAGAGGGTGCTGTTGGGACACTGCCTTCAGGACGAAGGCAAGATGGAGGGGCCAGGCCACCCTGGAGTCCTCTGGGAATGTGGTGGCGGCAGCAGGCACCACCCCTGTCTGCCTTGGGATGGCTCCACAGCACAGCTAACCCATCCCTGGTTCTGCTGAAAAGCAGACCCCACCCCAGTCCTTCTGGGTTTCAGGACAAAGAATACTTGAGACCAGCAGGTGGCTGGGTCATGACCTGAGGAGGGGAGGGTCCAAGCACACCGCTGGCTGTGGCCAAAGCACCTCACCCTTCACTTAAGGCCACGCTGCAGGGGGGAAGGGTGGTGAGGAGAGAGGAGGGCGGCAATGGCTCTAGTGCCCAGAGGGCAGTAACCCCAGACAGGGGTGGGGAGAGAAGGCCCCAGATGCCAGGGAGTCTGACGGGAGTCAGTGGGTCACAGAAGGAGCCTCCCCTCGATGCCTGGAGGTCCTGGGGCCCCAGGTCCACCAAGGGGTTACCTTTTCAGGTGGTCCAGAAGGAACAGGAAGGTCACCAGGTTGGCTTCCGGAAGCGACAGCAGTAAGTTAAGCATGCAGCTCTCCTTTGCAACAGGGTCTGAAAGAGCTACAGGTCGGGGGACTTGTTACTTCTTGGAGTCACAGCCGGGGGCTGGAAGCCTCTGCCACGGCCCATCATTGTCCTGGCTCATATAACACTAGCCCCAGTAAGGACATTGTGGCAGATGCCTGTGTGGGGGCGAGCCCCCCTGAACATCTTTTCTCTGTCTGAGAGGGGTCAAAGGCACTACAGGGACAGTGTCAGGAGGCACCAGGTACAGCTGCCCTCCTGGCCGACGCGGCCACTCCTGCCTCCCGGTTGAAAGAACCCAAGGCATGGGAAGCCAGGCATGCATGAAGCAGGAAGCGTGAGGGGCAGGAGGGTTGCGAGGCCCCAGGCTCCCTTATCACCCTGTGCACGACTGGGGGACCAGCTCCCCTACTGAGGGGCCCCAAAGGCAGGGTGTAGAGGATGCAGCTACCCCGTAACCCAGTGCTCCCCACTCTGGACACCACCCTCCAGGTTGACTTAGGGTCAGCCTGGGTTTGAAGGTGGGTGCACTGACAGGGCAGCACCTGGGGTCAGGGGAGCAGGACAAGCCCCTGGAGGATGGGCAGAGCCCTTCCAGGACTGGCTTGGTTCTCGGTCCCCCAACGACACACAGAGTTTGGGCTGAAATGCAGGCCATGGTGGAGGGGGCACAGTGGACAGGAGGGGAGCGGGCGATGCCTCCTGCACTCACCGATGCCCTCAGCGAAGTTGGGGTAGAACTCGTCAGTGAAAAGGGGCTCAGGCAGCTCGCGGAAGTAAAGCTTGAGAGTCCCGGCAATGGCGTTGACGTCCATCTCGCTCATCATCACGGACACGTCCTTGTTATCTGAACAGAGCACGGAAATGGAACTCAGCTCCTCCCAGATCCTGCATCGAGTTCCGCTCTCCCTGCCCCAGCTAAGCACATCCAGCCCCCAGGCTGATGACTTTGCGGCCCCTCCCCTTTTAATAGCTCATCTTCCTCCTTTCAAGCATCCTCCCATACGTCCTTCCCACTGCTGGGGAAGGAGCAGACATGAAGGCGGACAGACACAGCGCCTGGACGGGAATCAGGTGGCCCTGCCCTGTAGCAATTGCCCAGCTGGCAGTGTCTTCTGATAACAGGAAGACACTGAATTATTTGCTCCGTTTTAGTGTTTAAACTGGAGTCTTCCCTTTGGGCTCAGGTAGCCACTTGCCCTCTCTTCCGTAGGCCAGGCCCATGTGGTCGCCCAGAGGGAGCGTGGAGTATGCAGGCACAAGGTCCTGGCTCTGCCACCTTCCACTTTGAAGGCCCTCTGGGGTCTTGGGGTCTTTGTCTGGCAACTGGGGCTGTTCTACGACTTATTGGTGTGTGAGGGTGAGTGAGATGGCGGCACTATAGCACCAGCTGGACCCGGTCACCTCAGAGCACTTCACACTGCTTCACCGCTGGTCAGGCCGCACTGATCCCGGGGCTTCAGTTGGCACCTCTTTGCCAACCCAGGGTGAGCAGGCCGAGCCCCAGCAAAAAGGCAGGGCTGCCCCACAGGAAAGCCCCTGGTCCAACTCAGTGAGAGGCACGCAGTTAAAAGGGTTAAGAACCGGCTTCTGCAGAGCATCCGCCTACAACTCCCCTTTCTTCTCATTTAAAAACTAATAAAACCCTAAGTGAAGAGAAAGTGCAGAGGGTGATCTAACAAGCACGGGCCACAGAGGGCACCCTGAGAGTCAGCACGGGCCCCACGCCTACATCTCCATTCCACGCCGCCCAGGGCCGACACTCACTGACGTCAAAGGCCGCCTTCAGTGCCTGGATGTCTGTGGCCACTCCGGACACGCGGTAGATGCCCACTTCCTCCATACCCCGGCGCTCGATCTCTTCCACGCACTGGCGCACGATGTAGGGCACCTTGGACCTCTCCCTCCTGCAGGGGAGAGGAAACACCTTTAGTGCCCGGCAGCCCTGGCTTGAGCCACAGTTGGGTGCAACCGTCACCTGTCTGCACACCTGGACACCTGGAGAAGGGGGTAATGAAGGTTCTGGGCCTGGGCTGCATACAGAGCCTTGTCCACTCTGAAAGCTCATGACTATCACTGTTTATACCTTATCAGGGTCCTTCCAAGATCTCCAGGTAGCCAGATGCCCTGGGAGTTAGGCACGATCTTGGTGGGAAGGTCAGAGGCCTTTCTAAGCGAACGAGGCCACAGGAAGTCCAGTTAAAAGATCCCAGTCTTTGGGTTGACAGGTAGCATCCTAGAAAGCAGTCTGGTCTCCGAGTAGGGAGATGGGACCCAGTCTTAGCCTCGTCCCTGCCATCCACTTGCTGTGCAAGAGGAGAATCCCCAACCCCTCCAGACCCCAGTTGAGGAGCGAGCTCTGCACACAGCAGGCACACAACTGTCTGCTAAACGCATGACTCCACAGGGTTGCCTAACATCGGTGTTTGAATCCTGTCATTCTAAATGCTTTTCTCTTCCAAGTCCTAACAACGGACAATTCTAGCTCCTCCACACAGGACACTGGAGTAAGAATATTTAAAAAACAGGAAACGATACTGTTTGGAGGGTTAGCGTTAGTCTAGTTTAGCAATGGGATTCAGGAGCGCAGCAAAGCTCTTTTTCCAGCAACCCTCATTAGCTTATTTGGGATAGTTGCTGAACGAGTCCTCTCTGCTTATGCCCGGAGCCTTCCAGAGGCGCTGCGGGGACAGCTGGGGTAGAGCTGGGGGCGAGGAGCAGTGGTTGGACACAAATAGGTGTCTGCGGAATTCCTAATACAGGCCCTGGCCCTGACAACCAGCAAGGTCAGTGGCTTGGCCAGATTCCATCTGGGGAAGAGAATGGATTCTGGGCGGAAGTGGCCTTTGTCCCTGAGAGCTGCCCTCAGGCCAACATACAGACTTCTCCTGGCAACTGACCCGTACTAAAGGGGCAGGGGTTGCCATCATTCAACAGGAACCCTAATCATGACAAACTCAAAGCACAGGAAGAAAACTGTCCTCACACAGTTCTGGGAATTGTGTGGGGGCAAGCCTACCTGCACAGGAAGGGGACAAGGACGTTCCTGAGCTGATGGGGACAAGTTTTACAGTAAACAAGGGAGGCAGCTAAGCACACAGTGTTCCACGGGTCTGCGAGGTGTCCTGTGCAGCGACTGTGCCATGCACAGGGAGGAGAGACGCATACCTACCTTTTCCTTCAGAAACACCTTGGGGGGTGGGGGACAAGGGGCATGAGAGCCCAAGCCCCTTGACACTTACTTGGTGACCACAGCAATCTTGACTCCGAAGACCCCTGTCTGTTTTCTGGAAGGCATTCTCTTCAAGCTGAACTCCCTGCTGGTGAACTTGACTGACAGTTTCACTTCAATCTGCAGGGGGAGACGAGAAATGGCCCTCTCACACGTCTGGTCCTCACAGGCTGACTTCCTGGGGCGAGTCTTTCCACCCCCAGGACAAGCAGGCCAAAATCCCAGTGTGAGGAAGGGCCGCCCCGAGAGGAAGTCCCCAGTCCAAATCAGCAAGGGCCAGGGTGCTTAGGGTGGCTGAAAGACCCATAGTCCCTGCTGCTTCTTTTTTTTTTTTAATTGAGATAGAATTGACATAACGTTTTATTAGTTTCAGATATAATGATTAGATATTCGTATATACTATGAAATGATCACTATAGTTAAATCTAATTAACATGCAGCACCTCACATAGCTACAATTTTTTTTTCTTGTGGTGAGAGAAAGACCTACTCATTAGCAGCTTTTAAATACACGATACAGTATTATTAACTGCAGTCACCGTGCTGTTCATGGCCTCCATAGGACTTATTTATCTTACAGCTGGAAGTTTGTGCCTTTTGAACCCCTTCATCCATTTCGCCCGCCCCCTACTCTTCTCCTTTCGGAAATGCCTTCCCCAAAACAGTAACCACCAATCTGTTCTCTGTATCTTTCTTCATTATAAAAGGATAACGAGAGAAAAAGTACAGAGAATAATATAATAAAAAGCCATGAATTATCTGTCAAATGTTAATATTTTGTCATATATGCCCAGACCTTTCTTGCTGTGCGATAATATTTTTTTAAGGGCATTGAGGACTAATCAGGGGTCTCAGTTTCTATGGGCGACTCCAGGGTTGAGGTCCTGCCTGTCCCAGTCGTGCCACTGGATCAGTGTTCAGGAGGGATGCTCGGTGCCTGGCCGGCGACTGCACTCCAGCCACCACATGGGTTCCTTCCTGTGCAGCAATTCTGTTCTGCAGGCCCTCTCTTTCCTCCAGACATCCTCTCCCTCCAACACTAGCCCAGGCTCAGCCTCCTTCCAATTGTTCTAGAAGAAACCAGCGCGACCCTGACCTTTTGGGGTAAGTGGGCACGAACAGAGCCCTGTGGGTACATACCCCGTTCATGGCGATGACGGTCCGCTGCCAGTCTCTGTCCTGCAGGGCCTGGGGGTCCAGCTGAAAGCAAGGAGTCACGATTATCAGAGGCCCTGGGGTCTGGGCAGAGGCCCTGCCAGGGAGCAGCCCAAGCCTGCTACTTCTCTACATCTACATCAGAATCGGAGCTGGACCTCGGCAGGCACCTCTGTCCAGAGGCCAGGTTGGGTCCAGAGAGAGGAGAGGACCTGCCGGAAACCCCGAAACCTGAGAGCCCATCTGCTCCCAGATCTTTGCTGTCTGGGGCCCAGGCTCACCCTGGGTAAGAACTGGTGACAGCTCGGGGCCCTGTACCCTGCTTCTCCCTCCATCCTGTCCAGATGGGAGCTGAAGTCCATGCTGGGAGTCCAGGAGCTAGGGGGCCACCCTGTTCCCCGTCACCAACAATTACAGGTGCTACATGCAGCTCAGGTGGGGCTGAAGAGTCGGTGTAAGTGACATTTCGGGAAGCCCCATTTCAATAGCAACTTCCTGGGGGCAAAGCCATCTAAGGGTTCGAGACACTGTTTTCCCCACAGTGTACACTGTGGTCTGGCTGCAGGAGCTCGTGCAGGAGGGGCCTCCAAACCAGGCCAGTCCTGTGGCTAACGGTCCGGTGCAGAAGGAGCCAGAGCCCAGCTCCACATCACAAAGTTAGTGAGGGGGCTACAGGAAGCCCCTCTAAACTTCTACCCCCGCAGAACATTGTCCAAGTGCTGATCTGCAGGACCATGCTGTTTAATGTCACCTAACAGTCTGTGCTACTGTAAGACACCCTACCCTCAGTGGTCAGGCCATGAGCTCCCATCCATGAGGGCTCCATCTCCCTCGTTCTGGGGAGATCTTAAAAAAATACGGCCCCGGATTCCACCCATGAAGTTAGACTAGCAGCTCAGGGTGGGAGCCGAGGTTCCAATAACTAGAAACCTCCCCAGGTGGTTCTGGAGTGAAGCCAGGTCAGGGACTCACTGTCCGACAGCATATAACCTGCCACTCCTCCTCACACAGGGCTTCGTGATGTCATTCCTTGCTTCAGACTACGGTTCATTTCTACTACTATTAGGCAAGTACTCAAGAGCAGGGACCATGCCTCACAATTTCTGCACACACGAGTGCAAACACATGACGGTACTGAGTCTAATGCCAGGTCTAGAGGGGGGCTCAGGACAGGCATCACACATTTATCCACTGCAAGGGGCCTGAGAGGCCACAGCCATCCAGCTGGGCCTTGTATGGGGGAGGTGGCTGGAAAACAAGGCCCAGCTGCGTCTACCTCACCGGTGTGTGTACCTGGGCCTGTCTGGTGCACCTGCTCCACACAAGGCTTGTTCCAGGTGAGGGGGGGTGAGCCTCCTCAACCTCCCCTTCTAGGTGCTGCTAGTTAATATTCCCAAGGATCTGAAATATAGAGACAGAATGACCCAGAAAAACCAAAAGTGGCAGAGCGTCTTCCCCTTGGTTCTCATTCGGCATCTGTCGCAGGTAGTCAGTCCTTAGGGGTCACACTCCCAGGCTACAGGGACTCCCCCCTGAGGGGCAGGGCTGTAGGCTGGGACCAGCGGTCTCAAACCACTCAGAAAAGGAGACCTCCGCAGTGGTGCTTCCCCATTAGAGAGAATCCCAGGTAACGCCTCCCCCAGGGGAGACAAGAGGGGGTGACACCAGGGCCCTTCCACACTCTGGGGCCAGCAGAGCTCTCAGCTCTCGACCAGACGAAGCACGGCAGGCGGCGGTGAGGGGAGTGTACAGCTGCTCCGTGACCCCTAACTCTAGTGCTCTGGCCGCCCAGGAAGGAAGGGGGCAGGCGCCCTTCGTCCCGCTCCCGAGGAGAGTTCACTCAACACCACCGCTCGGAGTTTTCAAAAGGGGAAACAAGCAGGTTTGGCAGGGGGCGCCTTTCCCTTTCTCACCGAAGAACAGTAGTCACGGGGCCCCTCTCCCCTCAAGAACTGAGAACTGGCAAATGCAGCGGACGTCAAGGCAGCAGGGACCCTGCCCCAATGTGGCCCCCGAGAGACCACGGCCAACCCGCTGGCCCACCTTGCCCTTGCACACGAGGTTTCGGATGTGGGTCCACAGGGCGGTGCTCCGAGCACAACACAGGTGCTTTTCAGCCCGGTTCCGGGCGGTGCGGCTGGAGTGGAAATACCGCAGGAGGCCCTGCATGGCGGCGGTGGCGGACAGCGACTCTCGCATCCTTGGTTCTACTGCTCTGAGAGGTCAGCACTGCTGGACAGGAGCATGAGGCGCTGTCGGCCTCCTTGCCCTTTTGACTAGGACTTTCAGGAAGCCCCGCCCCTGCAGCTGGCTTGCCTCGGTCAAAGCTTCCTATCACTCCTTTCTGTTTTTTGTCTGTGTGTGGAGAACACACCCCCACCAGTAGCCTATTAGTTACGGGAACTGCATCGTGTCACAGTTCTCTCTAAGGCCCAGAAAACCTAAGCTTCCTTTTCCAGTGGCTGGTTTCCTGTTGGCATGTTTGGGACACTGAGTAATATGTCTGCCTGGCCAGTCCACTTCATGGCAGGACATGCTCGGGGGACTCTCCTTGGCGTGCAATACCACAGCCAGTAACCCCAATAATGACACGCACTGCCTCAGATGAACTCAGGGCACAGGACACCCCACACCCACTCCCGAATAGCTGGTCCACGGATGAGGGGTTCGGTGCCATCATCCACTCCCAGCACTGAGGTCCAGACCCACTGCCACCTGGCCCCAGAGGCTGCGGCACAAGCTGGCCTCCAGGGTGAGACCTGGGCCACAATGCTGCAGGTGTCTCGTAACTGGGCCCCCAGCCCTCACAGTGGCTCTGGATGGCGGCTCTGGTGGGAAAGGCTGGCTGAGCGCCAAAGAATAGGGCGTGCTAAGCAGAGCGGAAGCAGCATGAAGAATAACACGGCGACAAGGCCATGAGTCGCTCAGTCCAGCCCAAACAACATTCAAGACTGGCACAGTCTCTTGAGTGGCTATTTAAAGCACCAGAGAAGTAAACAATTGGGGGTTTGAAAAAACAGATGACCAAGGGGAAAGAACCAAGAAATGGATGTCTCGGGGAAAATGTGAGTGTTCTGCATGCCCCCTCATGGTCTCAAGGTCGCAGTGACAACGGTGCGGTGCGTACTGCTCAGGGATGGGGACTGCACGGGCGGGGGGGGGGGGGGGGGGGGGCGTGTCTGCTCACACCCAGTGTTCTCAGGAGGATGCTCTGGGTCCTGCTTGTCCCTTCAGGGCTGAGCAAGGTGAGGGTCTCAGAAGAACAAGTGTGGGTGGTGGGCCTGGTGGACAGTTGCCCTGAGGTCTGCTTAGAAAACTACACTTCAAGTCCATTCCAGGTAGGCAGTGGGTGGAAGGAACCTAGTCCAGGCAGGGCAGGCTTTGAGTGCTGTCCTGAAGCAGCCTGGCTGAGGACTATAGGCGCTGCCCTCCTGGCTTGGTAGTAGGCATGGCCAGATGGGTCACTGGTGGACAAGTACAGGGTATCCTCTCACCCACCCTAGGCCAAGGAGGGAGGGGCAGGACTGCAGTGTCGACAGGAGGAAATGCCATTCTCTCCTCAATCGCCTCCTTGGAGACTGTGCTGTCCTTTCTGTCACCGTCACCATCCAGGGTGGACCAGCAGGGCTTCCTTTCCCATCGCTCCTGACTGAGCTCCATGTGTTTGTACCGTAACTTACTCCCTGGGGTGGATCTTTTAAGAGATGATGAGAGCACCTCCCTGGGACAGAAATCTGGGCGGTTCTCCTCTTATTACCACGATCTGTTCTCTTGAGCTCCAACATCCACAGTTTTAACTTCGTTGCCCTTCTCCGATCCCAACAAAGCTCTAGCACCACTTAAAAAGATAGAGCAACCTCCCCTAGGATGGCTATGATAAAAGACAGACCATAACAAGTGTTGGTGAGAATGTGGAGAAACAGATACTCTTACATGCTGCCACTGGGAATGTAAAAGGCTATAGCCACTCTGCAAAAGTAGGGCAGTTCCTCACAGTTAAATGTGGCTGACCAACCCAACAATTCTGCTCCTAAGTATCTACACCAGAAGAAAGAAAACATACATCCACACAAAGACTTGTGTGCCTATGTTCACAGCAGTACTAACCGTAATAGCCCTGAGCTGGAAACAACCCATGTGTCCATCAGCTGATGATATATGAATATGAATATATGAACAGACATGACAGATTATGACTCAGTCATATAAAGGAATGAAGTACTGAAACTAGCTATGATGTGGACAATCCTCAAAAACATTATGCTAAGTGAAGAAGCCAGTCACAAAAGACTACGTAATACAATATGATTCCATTCACATAAATCTGCAGAATCTATAGATAAAAAAAACAGAGCAGCCTGGGTCTGGGGTGGGAACAGGGAATGATTGTAAATGGGAATGAGGAAACCATTTTGGGGTGATGGAAATATAAAACTATTGTAGGTGACCGTTGTACAACTCTGTAAATTACTAAAAAATCATTAAATTATACACTTAAAATGGATGCATTGTCTAGTATACCGGTTAAATAAAAAAGATAGAGGGCCCCCAAATGGACCTCAATAGAACAAGGAGGGTCCAGGTCATCGTGCCACGCTTTCTCCACGTGACAGTGGTACGCATCTTCAGGACAAATATTGGGAAATCTGTACAAGAAGAATTTGCTCATGCGGTTACATGTTCACAACTTTTACAGCCTAAAATCTCCTTCAAACATTTGTTAAAAACAAACATTATCCATTTTATGTTCCTGGTGCAAAAGACACCTTGGACCAGAGCCCTCCAAGTCACTGTTTAAGAGGCGACAGTTTCTTTCCTGCTCACGTCCCTGTGACATGGGTCACATCTCCTCCATATGAGCTTCCCACAAAGTACCCAGAAAGGCACCCCTCCCCGCAAAGCACACAGGATGTCCCAGCATGGTGAACGGCTGTGTGGAGAAAATGTGCATGGCTCTGCGATAATCCTCTGTGACAGCAGGCGGGACTCTCAGTGCCTGTGTAACAGTAACCGCCATCCCTGACCACCCACATAAAAACCACGTC